TCAAGAGAGAGAGTAGTCAAGGGTATCATGTGAAACAGACACGCCAAAGAGAATGAATGAACCACTGTCTCTCGGCATACAGTTCAAATGCCACCTCTTCCAAGAAGCCTCCCCTGATCACCCATAAAAAGGCCTTTTCTCGGGACTTCCCCAGTGGTCCAGTGGCTAAGACTCTGCACTCCCAAGGCAAGGGGCCCTGGTTCGATCCCTGGTTAGGAAACTAGATCTACATGCTGCAACTAAGACCTGGTGCAGTCAAATAAATAAATACTAAAAATAAATACTTAAAAAAAAAAAGAAGGCTTTCTCTCTTCTCTAGACCCTCATCCACATCTCCCTTCAATGAGGTATAAGCAGCATTATTTAAGTCCCCTTATTTCCTCTCCTACAGGATCTAGCAGAGATTTCAACATATGGGTACTCGCTAAATCTTTGTGGAGTAAATGAACATACAGCAAATAATTCTCCTGTGTATGCTTTCCGGAATTACTGCCTGAATCCAGTTTATGAGTGTGTGCCTATAAAACTAAATCACAAATCGTTTGGGATTTACTTGTTCTCACACTCACCAACTGCAATTCAAAGCAATTCCAGGACACATAATACCTGCAAGCATTCTCACTTTTCAGCCCATATTTCAAGGACAATAAAGAAAGGAAATTTTTCATCAAGTTGTTTGCAATTAAGCTTAACCTAAGCTTATCAAGTTGCGTATTCTCATTGTCTTTTACTTTTTTGTAAACAAGCTCAATCTCCTTAGTATTTCAATTTCTCAACTTTCGTCTTGTTGTTTTCTGTTTATTTGTTAATGTACCAAACAACTTCAAAGGTAATGGCCTCAAGATGGAACTCATATTCCTGCAGCGAGCTCTAGCTGGGTGTTTTTATACTGTTAAATCATGAACAAAAAGCAAAAAGTGCCACTTCAAGCAAATTAAAGAATAGTTGAGTCTGAGAAAGTTCCACTCCACAAGTATAAAAACACATTAGCCATGAGACCTTTAGAAAGCATTAACCCAACAAAGACACAGTCGCTGAACACTCCTTATGGTCTCTCCTTTTATAGCCTAATTTCTTGCAAGAGTAGGCTATGCTTTTTATTGCAATTTCTACCTTGAATTCATAGTGCCAAATCATCACAAGTTGGCTACTGCCCATCTCACCATCCCACTGCATTGTAACTGCTCTTTACAACACACCAGTGGTTTCCAGTTACAAACCAAATGGTCATGCCCTATCCTGCGTGGGCTTCCACGGCATTTGTCACTGTCACCCACCTCCTCATTAAGCTGATTCCACACACTGCACCCTCTCCTGCTCCCCCCCTGTGAGTGTGAGTGGGTAGCCCCAGGGTTCCGCCCCTGCACTCTTCTGCTCTACCCCACTCTCCTCCTGAGCAACCTCACTGACTCCCTGAGGGTCCCAGCGATGACCCGCAAACCCCTCTCCAGGGAAAGCCTCTTGCGTTCCAAACCCATGCGCTTGTCCATACAACAGTTCCTCGGGCATGGCGAGTTCCATAAAGTCAAAACTGAAATCGTTTTCCTCCCAAATCTGCTTCCAGCTCAATGGCACCACCATCCATCCAAGCCAGAGACCTGGGAGTCGTGCATAAATCCAGCCTCTTCCCACACTTCAAGCTTTCGTGATCATGTGGTCAGATCAGCCTCCCCAGCATCACAGGAATGTGTTTTCTCCTGTTCCTCTGCTTCGCCTCTGCCTTAGTTCAAATACCATCACTTCTCGTGGGCTTCACTGCTCTGACCGATCTGTCATTCTCTGACCCCAGATTTGTTCTCCTCAACCTCTAATTCATTCCCTTCCTTCTGCTTCTACAGTCATCTTTGTAAGATGTAAATCTTAATTCCCAACATATGTATCTTCCAAAACTGCCCATCTGCCTTCAGGCTTAAGATCAAAATGCTGAACATGCAACAACAGTCCTCCAGCAATCTTGTCTCCCATCAAAGCTTCCAACCTGGGACTTCCCTGGTGATTCAGGGGTTGGGACTTCACCTTCCAATGCAGGGGGTGTGAATTCAATCCCTGCTTGGGGAGGTAAGATCTCACATGCCTTTGGGCCAAAAAGCCAAAATAGGTAAAACAGATGCAATGTTGTAACAAATTCAATAAAGACTTTAAAAGTGGTCCACATTAAAAAAAACCAAAAAAAAAGTCCAACCTGAACCCTACACTTGCCTCCTTCACTCCATCTTCATCAACCAGCAGGTTTCGAGATTAGCTCTAGAAACTCTTGTCCTCCCCATTCATACCTCACTCCTCCACTGCTTAGGCAAGTCATCTGATTCATCCTTTGTCATGCAGCTCAAGGACCATCTTCCTCTGGGAATCTCAGAAGTATTCTAGGGTCCCTAACCCCCATTAGTCACTGCTCTATGACAGTGCTCTTTGCACCATATCACTATCTCAGAATCACTGATCTTTTGTCTGTTTCCCTCATTCATCAACGTGTGGAAGATGGTCCACAATTTTCACATTTCTGAATCACCACCTCTAGTAAAGAGTCTTAGGTTCAGTGCTCCCAGAAATGAATGATGATACAGAAGTCTGTGCATATCATCACACATCATCTATTGTTACAATATTATGCTTGGTTTTCCTCACTACTATATTTCTTTGCATCATAAGATGCTGTCAAAGACACAGCCCAACTTCAGAGATGTTAAGAGGTGAAATACTAGTCTACAGAATACAGTATATTAATTTAAGTAGCATGATTATAAAAACTTTTTAGTCATCAGACTAAAAAGACATTAAAAAAAATCCAAGTGCTGGAAAATAACCCAAAACTTTCTAAAATAATTCTTTAAGTGAAGAGAACACACGTATGTTATCTTAAAATGTTACAACATTTTTCCATTGAAATGTTCATTAAAGAACTGTTTGTTCTGTATTCTGATTGTGGTTCAGTTCAGTTCAGTTCAGTCGCTCACTTGTGTCCGAATCTTTGCGACCCCATGAATCACAGCACACCAGGCCTCCCTGTCCATCACCAACTCCTGGAGTTTACTCAAACTCATGTCCACTGAGTTGGTGATGCCATCCAGCCATCTCATCCTCTGTTGTCCCCTTCTCCTCCTGCCCCCCAATCCCTCCCAGCATCAGGGTCTTTTCCAATGAGTCAACTCTTAGCATGAGGTGGCCAAAGTACTGGAATTTCAGCTTCAACATCAGTCCTTCCAATGAACACCCAGGACTGATCTCCTTTAGGATGGATTGGTTGGATCTCCTTGCAGTCCAAGGGACTCTCAAGAGCCTTCTCCCAACACTGCAGTTCAAAAGCATCAGTTTTTCAGCACTCAGCTTTCTTCACAGTCCAACTCTCACATCCATACTTGACCACTGGAAAAACCACAGCCTTGACTAGACGGGCCTTTATTGGCAAGTCTGATTGTGGTAGCCAAACACAAATCTGCATCCACTAAAATTCATAGAACCATTAAATTCATGTAATCCATTAAAATTCATAGAAAATAAAAGTCATGGGAAACATTTTAAAATCTCCATTAAACATGGCCCATTCCTTGCCTCTCCTCTCCCCCAAGCCTGGATTGCACCTCCACAACCCCATCAGAACCCAAAGAGGACACTTACTTCTCTGACACTCTCTCTCCATCCCCTGAGCGATGACTCTGAAACTGGAGATAGCCCGTGTCCGGCCCACCTCCCCACACCTCCACATCTCAGGCCAGGCTTCCTGCCATTCACATACGCCCTGCTCCCCTTGCAGCCGATCCCTCACCCCTGCTCTCCCAGCCCTGTTGCTGCCAGTTCAATGACCTTGAACTGGAACCTTGGGTATCTTTTCTCTCTCTCTCACCCTCCTCCCACTTCACTCCCTCAACTCTTGTCCACTGTACCCCACAAAGTCTGGGCTCTACTGGGGTGCAGAAGGGGGAGAGGAATTCTCCTTTCATCCTGATTATTTACTATTTAAATATTTATTAATACTTACTCAGAGCAGATAGGGTCTGCTCTGAATGGTTAAAAACTGCCTGGACATGGTAAGACACAGAACCTGGAAATAATCGGATTTTCCTTGGGAAACTGAACCAGACTCTGCAAAGAAGGCAAGTCTGCTGCGGTCCAGGGCGCGTGTGGTCTGGCACCCGCCTTACACTTCCCCTGTGCCTCAGCTGCAGTGAGCGGCTTACTTTTTTTTTTTTAATTGGTCATGTTCCACCCCTTCTCAGGGGCTCCGTCCATGCTGCTCCCTTTTCTTAAGACTATTTTATCCAAGATTCTCTACAACCTGGTTTCACAGAATTTACAACAGAAACTTGAGCCCCAATGCAGCTTTTCCCAACTGGTGAGGCCATGGACTAGAATAGTCACATGGCAGTCAAAGCCTAAAGAAATAACAACTGAGTAATGATAAACCAGAAAAACGGATGTACTGAAAAAATAAACTTTCCCTAAGTAATACACTTTCAAGCTGTTCTAGGACTTTTAAACTTAAGATGTTATGCCATGTACGTCAAACACTATAACCAGCTAAATATGCTAAATGGTGTCTAAAATATCTGCATGTCCAGAGAATGCAATACACAAAAATTCCTTGACTTTAATATATAATATGACAAGATCAGTGTTAATCGCTCAGTTGTGTCTGACTCTTTGCAACTCCTATGGACTGTATATCCCAACAGGCTCCTCTGTCCATGGGACTGTCCAGGTAAGTATACTGGAGGAGACTGCCATCTCCTTCTCCAGGGATTCTTCCTGACCCAGGGGTCGAACCTGTGTCTCCTGAATCACAGGCAGATTCTTAACTGTCTGACCCCCAGGGAAGCTAAAGAGTGCTTCAGTTTGCCAGAAAAATTTCATACCCATATTTTATTTAATGCAAAAGACATAAATGTTATGTAAGGTCCTACTCTGGAGGAAAAACTACTCCCATAATCTTTCGATGGTAACTAGGCAAATTTTCCATATTCCAACTTAGATTTTCTTTTTATGGAAATAATTTTCCCCATAAATAAGAGTTAAAATCAGTGTTTTAATGCTTTTTAAGTCAAAAGTTAAAGACATCAAGTATTTCTTTTACAGTGCTTTTATTTATCTGTGTAGATATACAATTACCATAATTTACAGTTACATAACTTTTAGTAATTAATGTACTATAGGAAAAATCATACAGAAAGTTTGCACCACAAAATCATGTCCGTAAGGGATTAGGGTTCTCAGTAACAGAGAAATATAGAAGCTCAAAAAGGTCAGCAACCTCTCATAACTAAAGAGAGGAGAACAAAATCTGCTATATGTGGAAATGAGACTTCATAAACATATCTTTCAAATTTCCCCTATTACAAAAGGGAATGCCTCTAAAATGCCATTATTTATCCTATATAAAACATCCTTTCTATTACTTGAAAAGCTTTTATTTTTAAGATTAAAAAAAAAAAGGCCATATTCTTAAGATATATTTTGTGAAAATTATGTCAATACAATATCCAAAGATTTCCATTATTTACTGTCCTTACTCAAAATCACCTGCCTGTACCAGGTGCAATTTTGTACACTTCACCACTGATAAGACTATTCCAAAGCAGAATTTTTCAGCAATACAGAAGACACAGTCCCTACAGTTATGCTTTAAAATAGTTATATTCAAAATATAAATATAAAATCTCTCCAGACTATTATTTTTCCTAATGACTAAACTCTAAATTAAAAAAAAAAAAAGGGAGGTTTTCAAACCAATGATGTATGCAGCCCATTCTCATGACACGGCCATTTAAACTTCTCACCTGTGAAACACAATACAATACATTATCAAAAAAGGGAGGGGAAAACCCCACAAAACCCCATCATTACAAAATCAAAACCATAACCACTATAAAACACATGCAGTGTCAAGTGTTACGTTACACATTTTGCTGGATAATCTTTTCACTCCTCTTGACCATAAAAGCAACACAGGATCAATGTAGAAAATTCAGAAAATATAGAAAAGCGAAGAAAAAAAATAAAGTCTTCTAATCCTACCATTCAAATGGAATTGGTAATATTTGGGGATTTTTCTTTCAGCCTTTTTCCCACTATATACAAGTAATGGATTTAAGAAATACATATGCCTGCATACTTTTTCTTTAATAAAATTAGGATATATTTGCATTTTTACCTTTTGTTTACTTAACATACGGCAGTGTAGAGTATCTCTGACTTTAAAAATCCTTCTAAAACATGATTTTAACAACAACTATTTACAGAGGTAGAATTACTATGTTAAAAGGGAATTTGAGGGAGTTCCCCGGCAGTCCCCTGGTTAAGACTCCACACTTTCACTGTTGAGGCCCTAGGTTCAATCCCTGGGTAGGGAACTAAGATCCCATAAGCCTCAAGATGTGGCCAGAAAAAAAAGGAATTTGAGACAACCAAGAATCAATCCCCAGAAAACACAGCCTTTTTCTATCCTATTTCAGACTACTCAAAATTCATAAAACTTATATGGTATATATTTACAAGTAAATCTTTTAAACCATAAAAAATTAAGTATCTAAAAAACCAGAAATAACAAGAAAAACAATCATGAGGAGAAAGTATCTGCAAATAATATGACTGATAAGGGATTAGTCTGCAAAATTTACAAACAGCTTATCATGCTTAACAGCATCAAAACAAACAACCCAATCAAAAAATAGGCAGAAGACCTAAATAGACATTTCTCCAAAGAAGACATACAGATGGCCATTAGGTACATGAAAAGATATTCAACGTTGATAATTATCAATATCAATAATTATGAGAGAAATGCAAATCAAAAGTACAATGAGACATCACCTCGCACCGGCCAGAATGGCTATCATCAAAAAACCCACAAACAATAAACACTGGGGAGGGTGTGGAGAGAAGGGAACCCTCCTATACTATTGGTGAGAACGTAAATTGGTATAGCCACTATGGCGATCAATATGGAGACACCTTAAAAAAACTAAAAATAGACCTACCAAATAACCCTGCAATCCCACTCCTGGGCATATATCCAGAGAAAAACATGATCCCAAAGGACACATGCACCCCAATGATCACTGCAGCGCTGTTTACAATAGCCAAGACATGGAAGCCACCTAAACGTCCACTGACAGAGGAATGGATAAGAAGATGTGGTGCATACATATAATGGAATATTACTCAGTCATTACAAGGAATGAAATAATGCCATTTGCAGCAACAAGGATGGAACCAGAGTGCGTCATGCTGAGTGAAGCAGGTCAGACAGAAAGAGAAGCACTGTACGACACCCCTTAAATGTGGAATCTAAAGAGAAATGATGCAAATGAATGTACAGGACGCAGAGAAGCTCACAGACTTAGAAAACAGACATGGCTGCTGGGGTGGGTGGGGACAGTTAGGGGTTTGGGATGGACAGGCTCACATCGCTGTGTTTAGGATGGATAACCAGCAAGGAACTACTGTGCAGCACCTCAAACTCTGCTCGGTGTTACGTGGCAGCCTGGATGAGGGGGGTTTAACAGAGAACAGACGCTTGTGTATTTATGGCTGGGTCCCTCACTGTTCACCCGAAACTATCACGACATTGTTAACTGGCTACATCCCAGGATAAAAGAAAAAGTTCAAAAAAAACAGAATCACTACTATGGTTCAGCACACACTCATGGAAAAAACTGACTGAACCTAAATGCCACAGTATATACTTTAATCTGTTCCAAGTAAGAGAATACAGAATAGCATGTTAGTACCAGGAGGAAATAAAAGATTATCTTAACTAGTTTATCTCAACTAGATAATAAAAGATTATCTCAACCATCACAAAGAGTGGGACAGGACTGCACAACTGAACAACAACAATTAGTTAAGAAAAAGAAAATACGAGAAAGAATGAAAGGGTAAGCCTAGCACAGGAAGTGAGGACAAAGCCCTCTCCTCCAATAAATTACAAATACTGCAGGCCTCTCTCTTCTCTCAGAAGGAAAGTTAAAGCCCAATTTGCTTTTTATTCCCTACATTTTATTTTAACCTTCGATATCCACCCTTTAAAAATTTTCTAATACAAACAAGAATTATGTTACAGTAGTCCCAAAGATAATTGTTAGCTCTCAAAACTCAAGGGACTAATTTCTTAAAAGTCTAAACCCAATCTTGAAATAAAGTGCTAATGCTTCAAGATTTTAAAAATAAAGACTCTTCTCTTTCAATACTTACTCTTCATGAGAAAGTTTCGTTTCTTCCCTTTTTTTTGCAGAATAATTTAGGTTCCCACCTAAAATACATACAAGTGTGGAATTTTTTCAATATAACTATCAGCAGTAAAATTCAAACATGCATGTGCCAATGTGCACATGCACATACACATCTTAAAGTAACAAAAAAGCTATGGAAGGTGAGAAATAGTTTATCTCCTGAAAACTTCCAGAGGGGGAAGAAAATGTTTTTTAAGAACCCTTATGTGATACAAATAATCACTCCTTAATGTTAGCATTTTTTAAGGAATTTGGACTTATGTATTGCTCAAGGTTTTGGAACACTGTACTATTAATAAGCAGTAAAAATTAAGAGACATTAAAAGAAATGACCTAAAATTATTTAAACATCATATATAGTCATCCTTCTAAATATATGACAACCCTTAGGGGCAAGCCAGTTTAAAAAAATTAATGAAGGTAATATAAAAATTTTATTAAGGACAAAAAATAAAAAAACAAATATAAGCAAATGAAAAAAATCTGTATTTCTCATTCTGTTATCAAACACTTTCAACCTTAAAATGCAAACTTCAGCCATAAATGTGTTTACTTCTCATTTTTTTAAAAATATAAGACACAGGCTAAAATAGTCCTCACAGTTATAGTTTAAAGTATATAGGAAAGACTTCAGGTTACTTTTTTTTAAAAGTCATACTTCTTTATGACAATATAAAAATAACATCTAACACGAAACTTAAACTGAAATGACCAGCAGGACAGAACAACAATTTTAATAAATAAATGTGAAGGTCCAGAGTACATAATTATATGCTATGAAGGAAAATGTGTTTCAACACTATGAACAGAATGTTATTACATGAACTAAAGCACTGGCCTCTACAGGGGCATGGAGACAATCCAAGGGCCCCAAACAATTGTCCACTGTGGTTGATATTTGGCAGAAAATAATAAAATTCTGTAAAGCAATTATCCTTCAATTAAAAAATAAATTAATTTTTTAAAATACCTCAGCTTCTCTTACCTTGGGCACGATTCACCACGTAGAGTAAGACGACAGCTAAAAGTGACACTGGAAGTGAAAAAAACATAGGGTCCTTAAAAGCATGTACTTTTCCCAATGGTTCCTATGTAATCATAATTGCAGCCCCATGGACTGTATGTCGTAGAAGGCAATGGCAACCCACTCCAGCGGTCTTGCCTGGAGAATCCCAGGGATGGGGGAGCCTGGCGGGCTGCCGTCTATGGGATCGCACGGAGTCGGACACGACTGAAGCGACTCAGCAGCAGCAGCAGCGGACTGTATGTAGCCCGCCTGGCTCATCTGTCCATGGGATTTCCCAGGCAAGAATGCTGGAGTGGGTTGCCATTTTCTTCTCCATAAGATCTTCCCGACCCAGGGATCTGGAAGATGGGAGGATTCTTTACCATCTAAGCCACCAGACCAGGGAAGTCCATTAATTCATATACAGCCCACTATTTAAGAAGAAATAATATATTTTTAAAATGTGATGTGCTAATTTTGAGATAACAAAATGCATTCAGGCTAGTCATAGCAATCATCTGCAAATGCCACACTTTAAGTACACTCTTTATTCCTGTAAATGAAGTCAGATAGAATTATCAGTGGAGTATACCATTTTATTTTTTTTTCCATTTATTTTTATTAGTTGGAGGCTAATTACTTCCCAATATTGTAGTGGTTTTTGCCATACATTGAGAATGTTTTTAATGTTCATTCACGCTGTAACATGTATCTATCTGTACTACATTCTTCTTTGCACTGTAATTAAAAATATGTAACATAACATTTACCATTAAAAAAACAAATATTTAGAACAGAATAGAAAGTAGATTCTATTGCTACCTTTATGGGTAGGGATCTTCTGAAAAGTGCCAATGAATCTTCACAGAACTGGAAAGTCACTAGCTGGAGTGGGAGGTTACTGTGTAACACGGGAGCTCAGCCCCGTGCTCTGTGGGTTTGGGGAGTGGACCTGTGTATACTTATGACTGATTCACACAGCTGCACGGCAGAAACCAACAAAACACTGTAAAACAGTTATCTCCAGCTAAAAATAATTTCTGAAACTGAGAGATCCAAAAAAAATAATACCAAAAAAAATTACTAGCTGGGAAACAGATGCACAACCTAAGAATTAAGCAAATGTGAGTGCAACACTTTAGGAATTTGATTTTTAAAAGGGGGAAAGAGAACAATAAAAACCTAGAAGGATAAATGAGGACATGTGCATGCTAAGTCACTTCAGTCATGTGACTCTGCAACTGAATGGACTGTAGCCCGCCAGGCCCCTTCAGGTTCTTCTGTCCATGGGATTCTCCAGGCAAGAATACTGGAGCAGGTTGCCATCTCCTTCTCCAATAAACAGGACATTCTGCCACATATTAGAAGAAACTAAATGTTGCCAGGTGGCATACTTACAGGAAACACAGGCAATGAAGAAAACTTCTAAAAACAAGTATCCCCGAGTATCCAAGATCATTCCAGCAATGATGGAAATGACCGCCAACCCAAGATTCTGAATGGACTGCATGCTACAATTTAAGAAATTAAAAAAATATATATATCAATTCTAAAGTCAGCATACACAAAATAGCAAGTCACTATAAATAATCATATGAATAAACCACATATTATCAATGCTAAGAGATGTTTTCAATCAGGAATGATCTGATTAGATTTTTTTTTCCCCATTACTGTTTCTACTACTTAACTTTAGGCTCACAGGTAAGGGAATCTGCCTCAGCAAGGGCAAGATGAATGTGACACCTTCCTGCTGAATGAGACAAAGGGCTAAGTGAATGTCAACCACAGATGTGGTTCCCAGCTTTGGCCTTTTGCACCAGAGATGACAGAAACCCAGCGTCTCACTGAGAAGTCCACAGATAAACAGGCAGTAGGATGGTCAGCAAGCAATGCCCTCTTACGGGGTGTCTTATCGCTAGTTCTCCTGTTAGGGGCTTGGGGAATTTTTTTGCCACAATAATAACACAAATAGATTAACGGACTTTTCTGGTTTTTCCCAGGTTCAGAGCTGTCCCAAAAGCCTGAAGATGACTAGATTCAAGAGATCTGGACTTTTATAAGATAATTAAATCGACACAGCAGAGAGAGACATTATATGACCCATGTGCACTTACAAGCCATACGCAGTTCCCAGCTGATGTTCAGGAACTACAAACGCCACCATTGGCCACAAGGCACAGGCGAGTAGTGAGTAGGAGAGTCCCAGGAGACACTACGGCAAGCAACACGGAAGAAAGCAAAGACTCCTATTTACCAAAAGGTGGTTTCCTTTGGTGCAGATGAGCAAGAGTGACATAACAACTCACACATGCATATCCACACAAGCTGCATTACAAAATAACTAGGCTAAAACTCACATTCAATACAGAAAGGTCCTGGCCCCTCACTAACAGTATTCCTCAAGTGACAAAATACACCAAGTAAGAAAATAAAGCCAATTTGTAAAAAGTCATTACCAATGTCTTAGGCAAGCTAATGTTCCAGTATTCATTAGGAATTACAAATTAAGCAATCATAGTAACATCATGCCAGTAGCCTATTATCTTACCTCTGGGTCATCACCACCCATCTAGAGAGCCAGGCACACAACCAGTAACAATTACTGCTCGTAAACATCACCTACTGTTAACTTTTTCTCCAATTAAAGAAGAAACTTTATGATTTAAGCCAAAATAAGATCACTCATCATTAATCCCTATCAAATTGGCAACAATTAAAACAATGCCAGTGTCCAACATAGCAAGGACACTATTAATAAAAAAACAGACACATTCATATATTATTGGTAAAGCTCTAAATGGGTAGAAAGTCATTACAGGAGAGGGTTCACAGCATCCATCAAGATGTTCAATGTGCAAAACCTCTGCTCTAGCATTTCTACCTCTAGGAATCCATCCCACAGACTTCTCACCAAGGGCACAAATATATAGATTCACAATATTCTTTTATTAACAGGTAAGAAATACAGCACTTCAGCCTGTGGCCTTAAAAATGACATTTTTGATGAACAATAACAAAAACTTGATGAATTCATCATGACTCTTTGATCTATTAAGAGTCAGAGAGAAAAAAAAGTGTAAAATCATGGATACTGGGCTAAATGATGGAATGACTTCTCTTAATGAAAAATACATGGAACTAATAGGCATTTTGGCTTTTATATGACTATTTTATTTCAAATTCTCCATTAGCATTGAGAGTATTATGCAGCCAAATGAAATCAAAAAGACTTTATCAATGACTGTTATTTATATACTTTAAAAATAGTTATCCTGTGGAAACTGAAGTCAAGTCACTGTTTTCCCCACTCTCAGCAGCACTGCAATCAGAGAGCCAAGCGCGGCTCCTGCCCCAGGCGGCAGAGTCCTCCCTGGGCCCCTCAGCATCAGCACCCACGTTACCATAGCGATCCAGGGGTTCCACAGCGTGAAGGCCAGCATGACGTGCGAAGCAAGCGTGGTCACCACTGCACACAAAACCCAGATGATGTTCTTTCCTGTTTTATCCACCAGAAGCCCAAATATTGGGGACATGGGAGCTGATATTACGTATACAATACTGCCCAGAAAATACAAAAGATACTTAATAAAAGACATCACAGCAAAAAAAAAAAAAAAATCCCAAAGTCCTTAATTCTAAAATTCCTAGCTCATTTAACATTCTTCTAAAATGGTCATCAGTAAATAGAAATATAAAGAGATAAAAGTGATCCAAGACTTTGCTGGTTTTCCATTAACGCAAAGATGGCTATTTTCAGGATCAAGACCCAAGACAGACTTGGATTCACACTGCAGACGTTAGCTCACTATAAAGAGATAAAAGTGATCCAAGACTTCGCTGGTTTTCCATTAACGCAAAGATGGCTATTTTCAGGATCAAGACCCAAGACAGACTTGGATTCACACTGTAGACGTTAGCTCACTAAGTCTTTTCTGGCTCTAACACAGGGTTATAATGAAAGACCCACACTGAGCATACAGTAAGCATTTACAGAATTAATGGAATACCTGTTAATAGCACTGGCTGCCTGGGAGGAAAATCCAAATTTCTCTGTAAAGAAAACTCTAAAATAAAGAGAGAGGGGGGAAAAAAATAAACCATTTAGAACTATTCTGTTTTTGTAAAAATAAAAGCAAAATAATACTGAATAAAATAGTCAACTTCTCCTTCTTTCTAAACTGTTTTCCCATCTTATTTGATATTCATCTTCGAGCAACTGGCTAAAGCTTTAGTATTTATCTAAGTACTTCAGCAACTAAATAAAATACACTGATGCCTAATTTTTCCTCTTTTACGTATACAGAAAACAATACACACAAATTTTCAGAAACCCAAATGTATTACTATATGAAATCAAGATGGCTTCTTTTCCTTAAAAGCAATACGTGATGCGTCCTTTGCTAAATAATGTAAAAGGCTCCTCTCTCAAACTGTAAAATGAAAGACTGAATTTAAGGGTTATGATTACAAAGATGCTTCTCCACAAACACATACACTGCTCTGTTTAAGTGACAGTGAAAGTCGCTCAGTCATGTCTGACTCTTTGCAACCCCATGTACTATACAGTCCATGGAATTCTCCAGGCCAGAATACTGGAGTGGGTAGCCTTTCCCTTCTCCAGGGGATCTTCCCAACCCAGGGATTGAACCCAGGTCTCCTGCATTGCAGGCAGATTCTTTACCAACTGAGTCACAAGGGAAGCCCACTCTGTTTAAGTAGGTGCCTACAAAAACACAAAGGAGGTAGGAGATAAAGCAAAGAATTTGATTTAAACCCTGAATTTGAGTCTGCCAGAACTGCAGTCCTAACAAATGGAGATGTGCCTTGTCACTATGAGCTAATACACTGTCTCCTTTCTCAGTAAGAGACTTCCTAACAAAACAATAAACAGGAAACAAAGAATTCAAATCCAAAATCAAGCATTGAAATAAATCAGTATTATGAATCAAAAACTGTAATTAGGTATTTCCTCAAAAACCTGATCCAAGTATTAAACCAATACTAAATCTTAAGCTATGGCTTCCTGGGTGGCTCAGTAGTAAAGAATCTGCCTGTCAATGCAGGAGATGCAAGAAAAGTGGGTTTTATCCCTAGGTCAGGACGATCCCCTGGAGGAGGGCATGGCAACCCACTCCAGTATTCTTGCCTGGAGAATCTGTCAGAGGAGCTTGGCGGACTACAGTCCATGGGATCGCAAAAGAGTCAGACACAGCGAGTGACTGAGCAAACAAACCTCAAGCTAAGAAAAACAGTTGTATCCCAGGATGTAAAACAATTTATATGAACACACTAACAACCAGAGAAGCAAAATTTACAGCTTAAAAATTTACACTTATATGATTAAATTCTCATTATAATTTAGCCAACAAAAATGGAAGGATAGAAATTACTCACTTTCCAAGTCCAATGAAAGGGAAGATAGCGACATAATAGCAGACACAGATGATAAATATAAGCCACAGGGGTAATGAGAAGTCCTTCACATCAGTTAACTTGATCACTTCACCTGAGAGGAGAAAGGAGCGATGTTGTCAGTGCAATTCTGCATTTCTAAGTCAAGATTCTTTTTGTTTTATCACCTGATGAACTTTTGCAATTCAGTTAAAAAAAAAAAAAAACTTTTCTCAGTAAATTACTAGAATACAGCTTTGGGGATAATTTTAAAAGACAATAGAAAAATGTAAAATCTAAGATTAGTATCTATCTTCTTCCTCTCCTCCAGGAACACTTATCATTTTGCAAATATACAAAGTACAATCAAGAAGGTAAATTCTGCCAAAACCACTTACAGGGGGAAAAAATGTATCCAAAACTTTAGACAAGTGGAAATAGATTTGGAAATAAAAGATTTAAATCGACTATACACTGATATAAATTTTTAAAAAGTCTAAGTGGAAGAAAAAGATTTAATAAACATGTATTATTAAGCCTCACTGGGTTTACGACATTACTATTAAGAACTTACCTCATTGTAAATTATCTCAAAAAGGCCATAATTCCCAAAAGCCTAAGTTTTCCTGCATTTAGACTAACCTGTTTTTCCTTGTTCTTTATGAAGGATTCGTTCTGCTCTCTGATCCAAGTAAGCAAGAGCCAAGGCACAGACAAGTGAAAGAATACATGTTATACCCCCTATAATATAAAAGAGAGAGAGATTTTTTTTAGAGAACCAAGCTGAAGGTTCCTAAAAGGCAGCACTTTACGTTAACAGCAGAAAACTTAGCCATGGAAAGGGATGGCACCTGACGCATATATGAAAAAAACTACAATTGCTAAATCAGGACAGAAGGAAAGGAAGTGCAAATGGGAAGCACTCAACACATAACAGTTGCTATTACTATGTATTAATTATTTCCCAGTAGAAGGTTGGAGATTAGAAGGAAAAGGCTAGAATGCACTAGTCTTATAATCAGAATACAGATAAAAGAAAGCCAATGACCAGCTAGCAAATTAGTCAGAATTTCTTAATTCAGTCGAAGCACCAATTATTGATGGATACTGGGGCAGGGGAATAGGATAGACTTGCAAAAGCAGAGTCTGATCCTATGATCAGCTCATGTTCCTTCTGACTCCTTCCCAAGTCTAACCCCTGCCCCTTGGCAGCCCCAAGGGCACCAGCCCTCCCACAGCACAGCCCCCTCACTCTCTCCTCCATGCAGTCAGCATTACTCACTGATGCTGACTCATATCATTAAAGCGAATCAGAATACAGTGAAGAAAGTTTACACTGCTCAAGATTTTAATAAAAAGAAGTTTAGTAAAGCTAATGAATCTTTAATTGGCTGATGCAATACGACATAATATGAAAGACTGCAGGGTCAGGAGACGTGGGTTCTGCTTCTGGCACTAACAAGCTGATTGATCTTGGGCAAGGAATTTAACCTCTCTAGGCTTCAATTTTCCCATCTGTAAAATAAGCAGCTTTGACTTGATGGCACAGATCTTTCCTGGCTCTAAAATTCTTTAAAATTTATTCTCGAATTCTCCATCGTGGAGGGAACTAGAAGGAATACTGAAGAGCATTTGGAAGTAAGAAAAAGCTTTTGAGAGGCGAAGGATTTGAGAGGGAGGGGAAGGGAGGAGGGGTTTCTAGAAACAAGCTGCCTGTCTAGCATTACCTCTCACTACACCCCAGTTCGATTCCTGGGTCGGGAAGATCCCCTGGAGGAGGGATAGGCTGACCACTCCAGTATTCTTGGGCTTCCCTGGTGGCTCAGGGCGTAAAGAATCTACCTGCAATGAGGGAGACCTGGGTTCGATCTCTGGGCCAGGAAGATCCCCTGGAGGATATAGCAACCCATTCCAGCATTCTTGCCTGGAGAATCCCCATGGACAGAGGAGCCTGGCGGGGGCTACAGTCTGTGGGTTGCAAAGAGTCGGACACAGCAGTCCCTTCACCAGCCTGTACCAAGGAACTGTAAGGAATAAAAGACGGCACAGAGCCTGCAGCTCGCCACCCACAAGTCTCCCCAGGGCTCTGCAAGCAGTCCTCCACACCCCACGGGGCTCAGTTAGACAAATTTACCGCACAGAGAAGCACAGCCGGTGAGTCAAGAGTGTCTCATCGGCTTCTCACTGACCAGCTGGCAGCCAGCACGACCAAGCCTTAGCCACCAGCACTTGGGGCCAGAGGTGATCTAAGTGGCTCAGTCAAACAGCCACACTTCTACAGAAAACTAAGACATGGAGGTTAACTTCCTTGTCCAAGATGAGTCAGGACCAGAATCCAGACTCTGGGCTCCCAACCTGGTAGGTTTCTAATCACATCCTATCACCTCTGACATCTACAAAATCGAAGTTTCATAAGCAAACTGAATGTGATCAAAGGGAACAATTCTCCCTTTTGCTACAGGCTATTAATGAACACTTTACAGGGAGGTATAAACCCCCCGACTGTTTTCAGATCTCACGTATACTCTCATCTGTTCATCACAACAACACTGAAGCACCCATGGGACAAGATCCTCATTTTAAGAAAGTGGAACTAAAAACACAAGTGGGATGAACGATGCTACTATGTTCACTGTGTCTAATTAGGTCCAAGAACTCGTGAATTGTGCAGGCACAACTATAACCAAGTGGTCTAACCTGGGTTCCCCTCTCTGTCACACCACTTTGCATAAGAAGCTTTCAGAAGAGACCAAAAATGGGACTTCAGGATTCACTAACCGATCATAAGTGTGACCCCAAGGGTTGTGTGACCAGCAGAACCCACTGAAGCTGCGACCTGAGAATACAGCCATCCCATGAGGTTCATGTTGACTGTGCTTCCCTGGAAGAAAAAAACCATCATCATTTTCATTTGTGTCTGTCCTGCTTAAAAGAAAAGATGTGAGTAGCTTAGAGTAATAGGTATAATAGGAATCATTAAACAACAGATAATTTAAAAAAAAAACACTACAAGGAAAAATAACCACCTAAGATAAAGCCACAGCTAAGATTACTACACAAAACTGGCAATTTATAGAAAATACTAGTATTCAGAACAGCACAGTATGTCTAGAACTTCCTAGTAGCCCAAACAAAAATAAAACACAAGTTACAGAATTTACAGGGTACCCAAGACAATAATAATCTCTGGCTCAGAAAAAGCACAGCTTTTCCTGATAGTGACATCTGGGGAAAAAATTCATCCTCTGACTGTCCTTGGCGTGGCGTGCTGTCGTGTCTGAGGCTCTGTGGCCCCATGGACTGCAGCCTGCCAGGCTCCTCTGTCCACGGGATTTCCCAGGCAAGGTTACTGCAGTGGGTTGCCATTTCCTTTTCCAGGGGATCTTCCCGACCCAGGGATTGAACCCGAGTCTCCAACAAGTCTCTTGCATCGCCGACTGATTCTTTACCACTGAGCTACCTGGGAAGGCCATATCAAACAGCAATACATGTTTCCTTAACAAATAAGGAAAAAATAAAGCATGGAAGGAGAGTAGAAAGGGGCGGACACCTTGCTGACAATGTGACTGCGGATTGAGAACTTGAAGGAAGCTGTGGGGCCGCCCCGGGGAAAAGCGCAGCACTCCAGATGGGAGACAGTCAGTGACCTGGCCCCGAGAGGGAGGCCACCCGGCGTGCTCAAGGCAAGGAGCACAGCGTCTAGAGCAGTGTCCGAAGCAGACAGGAAGAGATGAGGCCCTCAGGGAGGGGCTGGGGGAAGGCAGGCTACTGGCAATCAAAGAACTTCTGGCTTTTCCTGTGAGAGATGGGAAGCCACTGGGATTCTAAGTAGAGAACTGGTACAATCCCTTACATTTTGACAGACTCACTCTGGCGGCTATATTCAAAACACCCTACAAGTGAGGATGACACAGAAGCCAGGACGTTGGCTGGGGGTTGCTGCCATAATGAAGAAGAGGGATGACGGTCTTGGACTGGGGAGACTGGTAGAGGACACAACAGGAAGCGATCAGACTGCAGATACATTCTGATGGAAAAACTGACAGGATTTGCTACTGGAAAATATGTGGAGAGTTGAGCGAGTGGTAGGGAGTGGTTCCCAGTGACATCAGTTTTTGCCTGAGAAACTGGAAGAAAAGAGCTGCTCACAACTGAAAAGGAGAAACCTTTAGCATGAGCTGGTTTGGGTGATGGGAGGTGGAACAGCAAGAGCTGGGCTCTGGCTGTGTTGGGTTTGATACGCCTACGAGACACCCATATGGAAATGTCAGCGAGAAAGCTACACATGAGGGATGGAATTCAAAGGAGAGGCCTGGACAATACAACTTCAGGAGCAAAGGCATGCTATTTAAAACTTCAAAACCAGATAAGATTACCAAGGAAGTGAGTGTCAAAAGAAATGAGAAGGTGTCCAATGACCCAGCCCACATTACAGGTTGAGAAGACTGAGATGGACGCAGCAAAAGAGGAAGCAAGAAGAAAACGATAAGACTCTAGGGTCCTTGAAGCCAAGAGAAGAAATCAAGGAAGTGTTCTAAACACTACTGCTAAGAAACACTACTGAGAAACGAACGGGTCCTCAACCAGATTCTCACAGCAAAGTGCACAAATGGCTATTTCTCACAAAACGGTAGCCAGTGGCACTACTCAGACGAGCATTAAGGTATAAATGAAGACCTACCAGAAATTTTCCTCAGTATCATCGAAAATACAAGCCTCTCAAAGACATGTTGTCTTAATAACCCTTAAAATCTAAAAATGCCTAACGTGACCTGGCTTAGCAAGTACTCAATAAATATTTCTCGAAATAAGGAAATTTTAAAAGTAACAAAGAAGAACCAAGAAGCTGCTGCACTTCCAACCCCCAGGTGAGGCATGAGAAATAACAGAAGTGAGAAGTCCACTGCCTGAAGGGTAATGACAACCGCCCAAGTGTCCAGAATCAGACGAACTCCCAACTCAGCCAACAGAAGAATCATGAGGTAAAGCCGGAACCTCCACGATCCTTCTGATGAGTGCAGAGACGTAAGAAACACAAAAAAAGACTGAACCTCCACCTACCCCAGCAGCTTTGGCGGACTCCTCTGGCCTCACGCGTCTCACGGGGACCCTAAAGACACCATCCGGACTAGAGCCCAGCCACGCTGGCTGTTGCAGAGGCGGCCGCCTGGGCTCTGCTTCACTCCACGTCCAGCTCAGGCCCCTCACATCCGATAAGCCCTGCATCACAGAGGCCCCTGAGACACCTGTGAGAAACTCAGGGCTCCTCAAGACGAAGGTGAATGGATCATTAACTAGTTTGTGACCACAAAGAAAAGAACCTGAAGACCACTAGTAACCACAGTGGCATCACTGAGAATGAGCCTTGCTCAACTGCTCCTATTCCCTTCTTCTAGGAGTTACTGGATGATGAGATCCACCAACTGCTATAGACATGTCTTGATTTGCACAAGATACATTATGAAGCAGCCAGAATGTCTCTGTGGATAAAATTTAGAAAACGTGGAAAACCACACTAGTTATCAAAGGTAAAAAATTAAAGTAACACTTGGCTGTTTCCTATCCAATTGACAAAATGACTTTTAAAAAATAATAGCCTGCACTATCAAAGCTACAGTAAGAAGGATCCTCCCATATCCCAAAGACAGAGATAGAAACATCTCTGAAAAGATAAGGTGGAAATATGTCTCAACAGTTCTAAGAAACCCAAACAAACCCTCTGACTCAGTAATAATTCCATTCCGAGCAATCTAGCCTCAGGAAACAATCAGAGATACAGACAAGTTTTGGAGTGTCACTGCACAACAGCTATATTTATAATACTAGAAAACTAGAAAAAGCCCACGTGTACAAAAATTAGAAATGTTTTCTATATATACAACACACATATGTGTAATATATTTCATAAGATGAAGCATTACATTAAAAATATTTCATTTGTACTGCATTTTTTTTGTACTGGATTTCTTCCCTAAGACTATGTTCCAAGGATTTTCACGCCATTTACAGTCTTTAAAATCTTGACTTTTTTTTTTTTTTAAATCTTGACTTTTAATGGCAAGAATCTTTTTAAAAACCTCCATTCATAAAGAGTTCATGAGAAAAAAAACCTAACAGGATTTGGGATGGCCAAAACACCTTCCAAGTTGAGTTTATAACAACATAATGTAGCTCTCCTGGGTACCCTTCTACCAGACCGCCTATCATGAAACACCGTGATCATTTCCAGGTTCCAAATGCTGGAAGGAGCATGACCACCCACCGTGAAGTGCAGAGAGGCGGGAGCACCACAGTCATGGAACTGAAACCCAGGCCACATGGTTTAGACAAGCACAGGAAATGAGTATGTCTGACCAAGACCTTCAGATCTGTCTATGTAGGCAAAATGCTAGTGCCTGACAGAGAAAATAAACACTCACTAGAAGGCAAAAGTCCAACAATCAGTAAAAGCTACTTGTGCAGGCAGATCTTGTCTCTACGGGAGGCTGAGCTTCACTAAGTTAATTGTAGTTGGGACTTCCCTGATAGTCCAGTGGCTAAGATTCCATGCTCCCAATGCAGGGGACCCAAGTTCAATCCCTGGCTGGGGAACTAAGATCCACATGCTGCAACTTAGAGTTCACATGCTGCAAGTAAAGAACCCATGTGCCACAACTAAGACCCAGAGCAGCCAAATAAACAATAATAAAAATAATGTATTTGGATGCTTAAAGTGACATGACTTTGAGAATTTGTTTAAAAAACAAAAAATTAACTGTAGTAGATGAATGAGACTTTCTTATCACTAGAAATGTGCAAGCAGCGCCTGGATGACCATACATAAAGACTTCCACTGCAGTAATGCCGAAAATGGGTAAAGAAGTTAGAGAATAAAACCTCTGTGATCCGTCTGTCCCAATGCTCAGAATCTCTGAACTAACGAATGCTCAATTAGCATTTGAAACTGCTTCCTCTTAGGTGAAATAAGATTAGAAATGCCTTCACTTAAAGGTAAATGGCACATTATGGTCTAGAAAAATATATTTAAAAAACCAACACAACTTGTACACAAATATATTTCATCCTGTAATCTTTAAGACATGGTTACAAGAGTCAATCTTTTGCCTCCTATTTGGCTTCGTTATCTGTTATACTTACAATTCTTGCCATGCTAAGTTGGAGTCCAAACACCAAGTTTAACTCTTTGCCTTTAAACCAGCTCACAGCATATGTATTCTGGGCAACTGCTAAGGACTCCCCACCAATCCTAAAATAAGGAAAGAAAAGTCACAGCTTTTAAAAGAAATACCATAGTTAGCAAGGCAGCAGGTGTAAAATTTTGACATTCCTCCCATCAAGAGATAGTGTCTACACCCCTCCTCTGAATCTAGATGGGCTTGTGATTGCTTCAACGAGTAGAAGGTGGTGGAGGTGGGGCTGGGATATAAAAGGGGGTATCTGCCTTTTCACTCAAATGCTCACACTTAGAACCCTGAGCCACTGTGTAAGACGTCCAGCTGCCCTGAGTCCCCCACACTACGAGAAAGCCAAGCCACACAGAGGGCCACATGCAGGTGCTCCAGTCACCAGAGCCAGTCCTCGGGGCATCCCAGGCCAGGCTCCAGACATCAGGTGCAGACACACCGTCCAGACTGTGCGCAGTCCAAATTTCTAGCCACGAAGTCCACCCCGTAAGGGCTGTTTCGTAACCGAGCAGGACCTATGGGGCCTTCCTGGGACAGGCCTTCGCCCGTATCCTGTGCAGGAGCTCCTCTCTGAAGGACAAGATAATAGTATTTGGTACGAACTTCCTGAGCTGTGTAGCAGACGGGAAAACTGCTCCCACCAAAAGGAAGTACTCGATGACCATGAGCACACAGCCCAGGAGCCTCAGTCCGGGAGCCGAAGGACTGACACAGCTAACCCGTGACACCACCCTACTGCCTCCCGTCACCACCACCCATCATCAGCCAGTAACAGAATTGTACTCGAGCTGACCAGGTACCCTGAGACAGCCCCGCTTCGTCTGTCTTTCAAAATGCTTTGCCAAAACCCTTCCAGGAGCATGAAGCTTTTTAGGGCATGAGCCACCTCGTCTCCTTGCACAGCCCTGCAGTATACCCTCCTCCGCTCTAAACGCCTACATTTCACTGCACCTCACTGGGCATCAGGCACACAAACCTGCGTTCATAGTTTTACACTGCTTAGTACAGGTAATTTAATATGCTGCGATCACAACCCTGCCTGGCAATCAAAGGAGTTTGAGCTACCACATCATCATCTACACTGTATAAAATGCTCATCCGGGAAGAGTGGTCCACACTTTGTGAAAACACACAGATTCACACTTTTTAGGCCCGTATCTTCCATATGTGACATTCTCCTACTTTCCAGATTTTAATTTTCCTTCTGCAGGTTCTAAATATTGACCTTAAGGTAAGAGATTCCTCTTCTCTGCATTCAAACACTGAGTCCTCCTCACCACTGTCCTCATCTAAATATATTTCCCCTCTTCTATGAATCCAAATCCTATATGGATGCCCATTTCTGATCACACATCTACCTCTGAGTTCCTTTCACATTTTAATAAACCGATTTTCCCTTCTCCCTCACTTAGAGCACTTTTGGGGATGTGTCACCTATGGCTACCAGTCCCTGGTACCTGTAAAAAGCGTAAGTTAGGTTGTCTGCATCCCTCCAGGCAGGAAGCCCAAGGCTGAATTGAGAATGAGCTTACAGAACAGACACTGAAATTCACTGAGAGGTACTGGTCTTTTAGTAATCTGCTCATTAAAGTCTTTTCAACAGGATTCAAAAGGACCTACACATTATTCCCTAAGAAACAGAAAAATGTACATTAATCACCAAGCTAGAAATTGATGGTCTACACTTTTCTACATGAGGTTTAAATCACAGTCTTCAACACAACAGAAAAGCAAACCATCTAAGAAAAACATCATCTCTGGAAAACTATTTAATATTCAAAGCCTATACAGAGTTAACTGTCACCACTCAAAATTCTTGCTTACTGTAAAGGAAAATTAAGACAACAATTGAGCAGTTGTGTGTGTCTGTGTGCGTGTATATACAGACACACAGACACACACACACACACACACACACACACACACACACACACACATATATATATAGAGAGAGAGAGGTAGCTTTCAAGAATTTGAAGTTATTCTCCAGAATATACAATAACATATTTTGGCAAATCTTTAATAAATTGATAAATGAACACTAAACAGCAATGTGTGCATGTGTTCAGTCGCTCAGTTGTGTCCAACGCTTTGCTCCATGGACTCCAGCCCACCAGGCTCCTCTGCCCATGCAATTTTCCAGGCAAGAATACTGGACTGGGT